TGAACCGGCGAGCGCTAGAAGGGTACGAGAAGGAGCTAGGTGTACATCACCCACGTACGCTAACAAGCGTGGGAAACCTAGCGAACATACTGCGGTACCAGGGGAAGTACGACGAAGCAGAGAAGCTACACCGGCGAGCCCTATAGGGAGAGAAAAGAGGCCCAGAAAGGGCCATACACATTGAATTCCGTTTACGACCTGGCGTACCTTCTACATAAGCAGAAGCGGTATAAGGAGGCGACAGAGCTATACCAGCGAGCGTGCAATGGTTTCGAACATATACTCGGCTCTCACCACCCAAGAATTATTGCGTATCTCAACCATTATACCACCACGCAACAAGAAGCAAAACAAAGCTATCGCCTCCAGTGAGCAGTGGAACGAACAGCAAAAAGGTGATCACTCTAGGTGTGACTAAATGGACTATTACGAAGAGGGTATTTGAAGCGGAGGCAGCCTGGAGTATATTTTATTCTAAATATGTGAGCTGGATCCCGGCGCATCGAAGATCGATTTCCAGCTTCTGCTTATATTTCGGCTCTTTACGAGCAGGAATGCAATCGCAATAACTTTGTGTACCAAAGAATATAAGTTTAGAGACATTGCTTTTGGCGCCATGCCTTTCGGCTCATCATAGGTTAAAGATCACACGATAGGAGTTTCTTACGTAGCAAAGCATTCAAATCCCTGCAATGCACTAATATTAACTATCTCTAGCGTGGTACTCTCTTCTTTTGAAGTATAGTTCCTGACGACACTGTAAGAAACGGCGCGTTCCATTTGTGTTTTTTCCTGGTCGGATTCTCGGAGACAATGCAACCTATAGCATTCGGGCTCATTTGTGGTCTTAGGCTCTGGTAACGCCCTTTGCCAAGTCTGACTTATATGCTTAATTTGGCCTTTATCATGTCGACAGAGCTGGCTGTGACGAATATTTCATTCTGGATTTGTGGCATGGTTTGTGGCATGGTTTGTGGCATGGTTTGTGGCATGGTTTGTGGGATGATTTGTATCTTACGGCCAGGAGGCTCAGCGTATATCTCCTTGTTTTTCAAACTTCGAAGGTCTGCGATTCCAACTGTCACACATGATACTGTTAGGACTAACGTCCTCGTAGTAAGGACTAACTCTTCCCTGTACACTATATAATCACCTGGGCTGCCCAGACCTTACACCATCACTCAATTCACCCTAATTGACTATCCTCGACCCCCTACCTGCCTTTGCGAGAGGTCCTATAAACGGTTGTGAGGCAGTATGCAAAATTTCCTGAAGGTAGATAAAGGGGTCGAGGATAAGGTTGAGCTGAATCAGGTGGCGAGAATCAAATCAGGTGAATTGAGTGATGGTAGTCCTAATGGGGAAGGCGCTAATCCTAATAAACGGCTAGAGCGGTGCACGGATGCGCATCACGTGCGACGCTAAAGGCGTTATGGAACTGCTCGATGGACTTTCGCTACCCTTAATCTCAAGAGGAGATCTGCGAACCTGTACCGTTGTGGCTCTAACCGAACCGGAAACCCCTCATCAATGTAGTCTCTGTATTCTACTTAGAGATTTCCGGTGAATTCCCCGAACTTTTGGGTTGGCCTATGGTATACTAGGATCGATACAGCTTGAAAGATTGATATTTGGATTTTAAAGAGTCGCCAATCTGTTTGGAAACATCTTGGAATTGGTGTTATCGACCTCAGTGGATATCCTAGAGATATCAATGGTCATTTTCTGTGCTTCGGGGAATGGTGGTTTGTTGCCATGAGTCATATTTGCTATTAATTCCGGTTCCCTAGGATTCGTACATCCAGGTGAAGATTGAGAGCTGGTGCGAGGCACCACTGCGTGTTCAGCAAGTCTGAGAAAGGCCAAAGATCTCATGTAACACCGCCGACTATCCATTTCGAGGTCCCGCGCTTTCAAGGGGAGTGTTCTGCAATCATGAGCCCCAGTAATGGCTCTTTTAAACCCCCCAAAAGTCTCCAGAAGTCACGACCCCTCCCTTCTTTTGTAGCAAAAATGGTTATGAATCATGCTGACGAGAAAGAAGAGAAGTGGTGAGTGAGAGTTCCAACACACCCATAGACTTTGGGATCTTTCGAGCTTTCCCTTGACTGGGGAAGGGGATTATATCGTCCATTCTCAACCCTAGGTTGTGGTTTCAGCGCAGCTAGTTGGAGCATAAAAAACATCTCATTTCTCTGCTCCTGGCTGCTTTCTCCACACAGTTCTCTCATCATTCTCTAAAAATCAGTGTTGTGCTTTGTCGAACTCCAAACTAGCTCATACTGACAAATTGTTCTCATTTTTATTCCCATTCGAGCTCTTTAATGCAAATCCCCATGACATCTTCTCGCTGTAGTTTTGCTGCTCCTGCTACATCGTCCAGCCGAGGCAAGTTCGACTTCGTTTGCCCCATCTATTCTAAATCTGGGATTTTTTGAGACGCGGCTCAGGCTCCGAAGGTTGTCCAGCAACCATGTCTGCGTTTGCATTTTTAAAGTTAAAAGGCCTCGAGATAAGGAGAACAATTTCGGCAGTGCACATGGTTACTTTCTTGAACCCATTCAATTTCTGACTCGGCTCCCATCAACATGAAAGTGGGATCATGAGGCTTTTATTCCTACGCGGCCGCATGTTAATACCAACTCATGAAGGTGAGTATCGCAGCCTTTTATAAACCAGCGAAAAATGTTGTGGGGACGAAGAGAAAAACTTGTCGGACGTCGAAAATTTAAATTGTGCGTGATCGGATTAAACGGTTCAGAGCCTGGGGACCTCTGCACTCGATTTGATTCGAGAGTGCCATGCTAGACTAGTACCAGTTCTGTACCTTCATAATCTGGCCTCGCTAGTTTCTGCTTAACAAAGCTAGACACACATAACAGACTCAATTGCTGGCTGTGAGTAGTCCTTGATTTCAGTGTGATGTCTTTGAGCTTCGACGCGATACTAACAGGATATGCAGAGGTGCTCCAAGCGCTTCGGCAGAGAACCGTGCGGTCCCCATGGTGTGAAGGCTTTTTGTCCGTTAGATCGGCCCTGCGGCTCCAACATCCATTAGGTATATAAATTTTATAGCGTAAGCAAAATCCAGAACACTTAAACAGATATATCGCCATTTTTTGTCCTTAAAGTGCTTGTATTGTGGAAGGAAATGGAGTGTGTGGATTGGCATTATATAACTACGCCCTCGAGCATCGATACACGATTGAATAAGGCGAGAGAGGGTGGGACTATGCTGTTCCGTGGCAATTGGAGGGATATAGATGAGAATCATGAGTTATTACAAGGTATGGGTGATTGGGAATTTCGATAGTGAAGCCTATTGACTGTGGGAATAGCGCATAAACCTATAAAATACACCACAATCTTCTTGATTATATCTTTTACTGAAACCTCTCTTGAACGGCAAATATTAGAGAAGTTATCCATCATGTTTGCGGTTGAAAAGAACACAAACCTGGACGTACCTACATCTATTCTAACTTCCAACGCTGTAACGACGGATACGGCAATCTAAGATTGGCGTGCGTAATGGTGGTACGTTTACTCGGTCGGGAGTGTTGCATACCACCATCCTTCAATCCAGACTTTACATCACACCGCTCATGTCGAGCCTCTCCCTCTTCCACACGTCACGTTATCCACCTTCTTTATATTTCGGATTTTCGAAGAGGTCACCACGTCGGTTTTCTTATATGGGCAGGGAATGTTAATTTGCTCATGAAGCACAACCGGGTAGCAGGTCAAACAGTCTTTGAGTTCCCGGTACCGAGAATAGGCGCCACTTTATGAAAAGCGCTGAGGTCTAGGAATTGTGGGCTTACATACTTTCCGGCGGTTTAGCTTAAAGAGAGTAACTAGTTTGAATTGGCAATATGAATGCTTCGTGCATATATTTTCTCCTCATTCTTCACAGCTCTTGTTCTTCAATGATGTCTCCGATGGGACCAGGTATCTTGCCTACCAGTTTGCGGTTTTTATCACACCTCCATCCGCTACCTCCGCTACTGGAGGCTGTAGTCAAACAGAGGGCTCAGATGAGGGAAGGCGTATTCGTTGGGAGAAATGGGGGGTGAAGTTGACGAGGGTGATGACAATTCGAGAATGTTTGGTAGAGTCGAATGAATTGAGCAGAGACCATAACAATTTGTGAGGAGTTGGAGAGAGGACGATTGACATCAATCTCTCCTGCGTGGAACAATATCCCAGATGGCATTTTCGGTGAAGGTGTGGTAATAATCACCACAATTGAGATTTATATACTACTCAAGAGCTGAGGTCGGAGAGGCCATTGGGTAGAGGTGGCGTCTATAGTTCTCCTGGCGGTAGTTCCCTCCATGTTGGTGATAACCCCATCTCGATGTTCAATGACCATGGAATGAGGGAATACCAAGGGAGTGCACTGATTCCGAAAGTACTAGCCGCCCCGATGCAATTGAGCCTCTCTAAAGTATCAGAGTTCCCACTGGACTACCGGAGTTCCTCCTGGAGTACCGGGAGAAGATTTGGAAAGAAGTCGGGATGACAGGGGCTAACTTTAACAGTCTGCGAGGGTCTTCATTTCCTAAAAGGAGGTTCCGAAAATGATTCCATAGTGGGAATGGACCGGCTGCGAATAGTAGTATTCCCAAGAAGGCCAGACTGCAGATAACTAAGATCCCTAAGTAACCCCGCGGAAATGCAGCAAACTGTTAACAGTCAGTAAGTCGACGCCCAATGCCGGTGGGGATGCCGAGCCGATAGTCAAGACAGCTGTCCTCATTGCTCGGCCGCGGACTGCGGCGTTCTGATGAAAGGTGCGAGTATTTGTGTGCATGATGCTATATCAGTAATCATAAGAAATCTCCAGTGCCAAGCTAATGCAAGGGTCCAGATTACTCAAAGGCCAAAACACCATGGAAGCGAACACGACGGGGGGAGCGAAGTATGAGGGGCAGCAGTTTGGAATCATCGAGCTATCGAAAAATCGCGGATCTGGATATGTCAGCCTCAATTTCTAAGCTTGTTGCTGGAAAGGGAAAATAGAGATTCCAAAACCGGCATCATAGCTAGAGATGCGGAGATATCCCATAGTGCTGTTAGTGGTGTCATGAAGAAGTGGAAGGAGATATAAAGACTTTGGTACTCATGGCTAGAGGGATATTAACTCAACTCATCAAAATCATCCTCATATCCATTAATCACAACATCCGAACGACGCCAAGAAGCGCCAATCTCAACAACCACCAAGTTCTTTAGGTCAACATGAAATTCAAGACTGTTACCACGCAGTTCCTTACCCTCCTAAGTGGAGAGAAGGTCTTCTGGCGCGAAGCTGGCTCCGTCCACTCACCCACTGTCCTCCTACTCCACGGCTTCCCTTCGTCCTCCCACCAATTCCGCAACTTAATTCCCCTCCTAGAACCAAATTACCGAGTCATTGCCCCAGATCTACCCGGTTTCGGCTTCACAGAAGTTCCGTCTAACTACACCTACACCTTCGACAACCTCTTCAATACAATTGACACCTTCCTGGAGAAAATTCCCAAGCCACCTTCCAAATACACCCTCTACATCTTCGACTACGGCGCCCCAGTCGGTCTCCGCCTCGCCCTCAAGCATCCCGAGAAGGTCCAAGCCATCGTCACCCAGAGCGGAAACGCGTACGTCGACGGTATGGGCGACTTCTGGAACCCGATCCGCGCGCTGTGGGCCAACAACTCGCAAGAAAACCGGGACGCACTACTCCCCTTCCTCACGCTGGCCGGAACGAAGTCGCAATACGACAACGGTGTCGCGGATCCCAGCCGTCTCGACCCGGCTTCCTATACCCTTGATCAAGCTTTACTCGATCGTCCTGGAAACAAGGAAATCCAGATTAACCTATTTTACGATTATCAGAATAACGTGAAATTATACCCGAAGTTCCAGGAGTACTTTAGGAAGAGTCAGATCCCGTTGTTGGCGTGTTGGGGCGAGCATGATATTTTTTTCATCGCACCAGGAGCGACGGCGTATAAGAGGGATTTGCCGAATGCGGAGATTAAATTCTTAGATGCTGGGCATTTTGCGACGGAGAGTAATCCTAAGCAGATTGCAGAGTTGATGATAGAGTTTTTGAAGAAGAATGAGATCAGTTGAGAGAGATATCGATTGAGGAATTAATAGAAATCAAGTAGTACATAAGACACTTATCAGACGATCATTCAGAAGGAGCTAATGAAAGTGCGAGTTATATGGTGGCCCGAGATAGGATTTTTACTGACTGTGATGGTTTTGAGTGAGGCGAAACGAAGATGGAGATGGATGAGTCCAACTACATCTGTAATGCTGTCGGCGAAAGTGAGCGCCAAGCCCGATGACTAGGGCTGCCTACTAGACCCTAGGGTGTAGAAAAGCGACAACTTTTCGACAATTTTCGAAGCCAAGATTTCAGAGCTCAATCAGCCGTGAACCACCACCCCTCCCCCCCCACCTACTAGAGAAAATCTTAGTTTGAGTAATAGCTCTGTCTTTTCTGACCCCCTTGCGATTCGAAGCGGTTGCGTCTCCCCACCGCAGAGGGTTCTTTTCGCGGGCGGAGCGGGGGAACCTGAGGAGCAGTCACGATGCCTAAGAAAGCGATGTATGGCTGCAATCAAGCCTCCTGTGGCTCACAAATGCTGATTTCTTCTCAGCGATGCTCGAATACCGGCATTGATTCGAAATGGGGCTCAGGTACGAATGCGCGCATACATTGTAACACCCGAAACACAAATACAAATTCATGGTTTCTAGGAGAAAAAGCGAAGCTTCTTCGTCATCGTCGGCGACCGCCAGAAAGATGTCATTGTCAATCTATACCACATCTTGCTCAATGTAGATGTGAAATTGAACAAGTCGGTGCTTTGGGCATACAAGAACAAATTGCTCGGCTTCTCAAGGTGGGCAATAGGAGACATGTACTTGACTCGCGGCTTGATACTAACTTTCGCAGTCACCGAAGAAAGCGTGAGAAGAAAATAAAGAGTGAAATCAAACGAGGAATCCGCGATGTCGACACCGAAGACCCTTTCGAGCTATTCGTCTCCACCCAGAACATCCGATACGTATACTACAAGGAGACGGAGAAGATTTTGGGAAACACATACGGCATGTGCATATTGCAAGACTTCGAAGCCATAACACCGAATCTGCTTGCAAGGACAATAGAGACGGTGGAAGGAGGTGGACTGGTGCTTTTGCTCCTCAAGGGAATGAACAGCTTAAAGCAGCTATATACTTTGTCCATGGACATTCACTCGAGATACCGGACGGAAGCACATAGTGATGTCGTGGCTAGATTCAACGAGCGGTTTATCTTGTCGCTTGGGAAGTGCGAGTCGTGTCTGGTGGTGGACGATGAGCTGAATGTTCTTCCAATATCTGGGGGAAAGCATGTCAAACAACTACCGCCTCTAGACCCCGAAACAGATGGCAAGGCGCCGAAGGCGAAAGAACTGGAAGAAATCAAAGAGTCGTTGGCAGACTCCCCGCCTGTTGGGGACTTGATCAAGCTGGCCAAGACCGTGGACCAGGCGAAAGCGCTGCTTACATTCGTTGAAGCGATTGCGGAGAAAACTCTTCAAAGTACAGTGACGTTGACAGCCGCTCGTGGTCGAGGAAAGTCTGCCGCACTAGGTGTGGCAGTGGCAGCAGCCATCGCACATGGGTACAGCAACATCTTTATCACCTCACCTAGTCCTGAGAACCTGAAGACCCTGTTTGAGTTTGTCTTCAAAGGCTTTGATGCTTTAGGATACACGGACCACCAAGACTACACAATCATGCAGTCAACAAATCCAGACTTCAACAAAGCGATCGTACGGGTGAACGTGCACCGGCAACATCGACAGACGATACAGTACATTCAGCCACAGGACGCTTACACCCTAGGCCAAGCTGAGCTAGTAGTCATTGATGAAGCCGCAGCGATTCCACTACCACTAGTCAGGAAACTAATGGGTCCATACCTGGTATTTATGGCTTCGACAATCAACGGCTACGAAGGTACTGGGCGATCGCTCTCTCTGAAGCTCATTCAACAGCTTCGCGAACAATCTCGTGGCCGAGCCGTTAATGGCACAAACCATGTGATAGATCGGTCCAATGGGAAAGAGTCGAAAGATGGCACGGAACCTTTTATGACCGGCCGTTCACTGCGAGAAATAACACTCTCAGAACCTATCCGATACGCTCAAGGGGATGGCGTAGAACGATGGCTAAACGACGTCCTTTGTCTAGATGCAACACTCCCTCGATCAAAACCCAACACGCAAGGGTGCCCGCACCCGTCCGAATGCCAGCTTCTTCACGTTAACCGCGATACCCTATTCTCGTTCAACCCCGCCGCAGAAAAATTCCTACAGAAGATGATGGCGCTATACGTTGCCAGCCACTACAAGAACTCTCCGAATGACCTCCAGCTCATGTCCGACGCTCCAGCACACCAGCTCTTCGTTCTCGTCCCCCCTGTCACAGAGGATAACAAACTCCCAGAACCCCTGTGTGTTATTCAAGTCGCACTTGAAGGTCAAATTAGCAAAGAGAGTGTCCTCAGTAGTCTTAGTCGTGGTGTCCGTGCTGGGGGTGACCTAATACCGTGGATCGTCTCCCAGCAGTTTCAAGATGAAAATTTTGCAGGTTTGTCTGGCGCACGTGTTGTGCGGATAGCGACAAACCCAGATTACACAAACATGGGCTACGGGTCGCGGGCACTAGAACTCCTTGTTGATTTTTACGACGGCAAGCTTGCCAGTCTTTCTGAATCCGAGCCACATGAGCTAGAAGAGATGCGAAGGGTGACCGAGGAAGAACTAGAGAATGCCACCTTGCTGAAAGACGAAGTGAAAGTCAGGGAGGCGAAAGATATGCCGCCACTCTTTGCTCGCCTCTCAGAACTCAGAGCTGTTCAGCTCGATTATGTCGGTGTATCATACGGCCTCACCCCTCCCCTCCATAAGTTCTGGAAACGCGCATCCTTTGTGCCAGTCTACCTCCGCCAGACTCCCAACGAACTTACAGGCGAGCATACATGCGTTATGCTCCGCTCTCTTGAAACAACGTCTTCGGACGGTAGCTGGGTAGGCGCTTTCGCCAAGGATTTCCAGCATCGCTTCCTATCCCTACTATCCTACCAATTCCGAACCTTCGCCTCTGTAACCGCACTCTCGATCGATGAATCCGCATCCGCAGGCTCGAAACTCGACGTTGATCTCACACCTAAACCCCTACGAAAAACAGAACTTGACGACTTGTTCAGTCCTTTCGATCTCAAGCGCCTCGACTCGTATGCAAACAACATGCTCGACTACCACGTCATCCTGGACATGTTGCCTTCCATCGCAACACTCTACTTCACTGGAAGGCTAAAATCGAAGGTCAAACTGAGTGGCGTGCAAACCGCGCTCCTCCTTGCCATCGGCCTCCAACGGAAAGAATTCTCAGATCTGGAGAAAGAGCTGGGATTGAATATAAGCCAACTCATGGCAATGTTTGTGAAAGTTGTGAGGAAGGTGTCGATGGCTTTCAGGAGTGTAGTCGAAGGAGCGGTTGAGGAGACTATGCCTGAAGCGATAGAGACTGAGGAGAATAGGGTTGATGGCGGTGGCGAGGGAGAGGGGGATAGGGTTCGGAGATTTAAGCCACTGGAGAAGGATCTGGATGAGGAGTTGAAGGAAGGTGGGGATGAAATTGATAGAGAGGAGAGGGAGAGAGCGAAGAGCTTGATCGATGCGTTGCCCCTGGATCGGTGAGTATGATGCAATTCCACACTACACAACAAGTCCCAGAACCCACGATTCAATTCCTTTCCATGCCGCGATCCAATCTGCTGACGCCCTATCCCTCCACAGGTATGAAATCACAGCCGGTGGCACCGACTGGGCAGACGCGGAACGGCAGATCCGTAGTGCAGCAGCCAAAGACGGAGGTGCGAAAGCCATGACGGTCAGTGTGAAGGCGGGAAAAGAGAAGAAGAGGAAAGCGGGTGCTGCGGTGGAGGAGGCATATAGAGAAGCGGAACAGCTTAAAGAGGGTGGGAAGAAGAAGAAAAGCAAGTTTGGGAAAGGAGGGAGATAGTGGGGGGAATTGGTGGATAAATTGGGGTTGGAGGGGGAGAGGTGGGGTGACGGGTTTGGGTGTGTGATGGTAAATCAAATGAAAGAGTAAACAACTTTCCATACTTCATGTTGTGCAGTCCTGCATTTCTGCATATTGTCAACTCAAAAGCTGGCAGATTTGGGTTGTATGGGACTGACCGAATCAGGCGTCCGACGAGCATCATAACTATACCCTCCTCCCGGTGTCACGAAACACCGGGATTGCTGAAGCAAACCTCGCGTAGTCTAACTTGTAAGCATCTCAGGATCTGCTTACATATCTTTTTCACCGCACTATGTTTAATGCGTCCTGCAGCTTCTGCTTCATATTCATCACTCTTCTTAACTGAGAACTACACACGTGTGGCCATCCTCTGGTTTAATTTCCGTGGAGGACTCGTTAATCCCGCGACTAAATTATTTACTACACTAACATTATTGTCCTTCTATTCCTTTTTTTGATAGTAAAAGAGGTTTGCCTCAGGCATGAAATCGTAGTATAACTAGTGCTAGGAAGTTATGATAAACAATGTGTGTGACGTAGAAAGCAAGTTCGCGAGGTAGGCAGGTACTAGGGTATATTAATTTCTCCTAGATAGTGCGACATGCCCTGCGTCCAGAAATAAGACATAGGGGCTACCTCGCGGGAACGGCCAACTGGCGCAAACTTGCTCGAACCCCACGCTACACCTTCGTACACGCGATTTGCGGCAGTAAAAAGGAATACTTCGTAATCACAGTTCAAGATCGCAACCCTGCGGCCGGAGCGGGTCAGCCGTCCTTCCTGCTTGCTGTAGCGAAATCAAATGGCAAGTTATTCTTATTAGTGCCAACGCGGCCGTCCGTCAATGCACCCGGCTGTACAGTACTGCAGTACATGAATTTTAGTACTGGTTAGTAAGGATAGTGGTTGCTAGTATAGTAACTGTATGTGAGGCCCTGTTACTAGCCATTTATGGTAGTCTGTATAGATTTTAGGTGAAATAGAGGTGTCTGCGTGGCTGCAGGAGGTGCAGAGGGCTTAGAGGGCGCGGACGGCCTTAGGGAAGCCAGAAATTAATGCAGATTGTGAAAATCCTGCATGTTTCATTAGCATTTTGTTAATAAACTGCACAAAACTGCAATCCAACCCCCTTTAGGCACCATATAATGTGACTTTCTTAGTACGGTACCCGCAAGCCTTGAGCCTCTTAGCGCATTACCACCTCTTAGGCCTTAGGCAGTCGATTTGACTCTAAGAAGGCGCCTGCTCACTATCCTGTCGCGTTTTACACAGAACAATTAGGGCTATAGAGCTACAAAAGAACTAGCTGCGTAATAAGGTAGTAAACAAAAAGCTAACTAAGTTGACAGAGTACACTAAAACAGTAGGGAATGTATCTTAAGAAGAGGATTAAATTCCCTCTGCTCTTACTAATCTTTCTTAATTAGGTTGCACACTCTGTGAACAACCTGCTGTACTCTGTATGGTACGGTGCGGTCTATTATTTCACTCGTTACAGAGTACCGCTAGTTACTCTCCCTCATCTACTCAGTTAGTATAGTTAGTACGTACAAGAAAGTTAACTAGTACAGTGCACCGTACAACCTCAAAACTGCTCCACTACGTACAGATGGCCGCGCTGCTCATCACTGTTATGTAACACCAGTACGCATGCTCAGCGACTTAGCCTGTTCTGCATGTACATTAACTTTATATTCTGCAAATAAAATAAGCATTAGGTTTATATTTCCGCGTTTTCCTTTCGCCACTTGTTAAGAGCCTCAAGAGAAGATTCTGTGTGAGGGTGCTGAGGGCCAAGGATCTGCTTCTGTAGCTTAAAGCACTTTTCCATCAATAAGATAGCTTCTCCATTCCGGCTTTGGCACTTCTGCGTGTGTGCTATGTTAGCCATGATAGTCAGCGTATCTGGATGCTCCTCCCCAAGCACCCTCTTTCTCGTCTCCATCACTTGCACCTCCAGCTCTTCGGCCTCCTTCCACCG